GATTAAACATCTGTTATAAAAACAACTGAAGATTTTCTAATAAGTTCAGTTACTGAGTCTCGCAGAGGACGAGTAACGGGATCACGACTGCTTCACTTATTTAGGTGTACAGCGCCACCTACAGTTTATCACAAGCAACCACACCAAAAACTGCCAAACTATACCAACAACTACCAAACCATACCAAGACCTACTAAAATATACCAAGAACTACTAAACCACACCAATAACTACCAAACTATACCAAAAACTACTAAACCATACCAAAAACTACCAAACTATACCAAGAACAACTAAACCATACCAAAAACTACCAAACCATACCAAGAACAACTAAACCATACCAAAAACTACCAAACCATACCATGAACAACTAAACCATACCAAAAACTACCAAACCATACCAAGAACTGCCAAACCACACCAAAAACTACAAACCATACCAAGAACTACCAAACCATACCAAGAACTACTAAACCATACCAAGACCTACCAAACCATACCAAAAACTACCAAACCATACCAAGAACTACTAAACCATACCAAAAACTACCAAATTATACCAAAAAGTACTAAACTATACCAAATAATACCAGAGCATATCAAAAACTACCAAACCACACCAGGAACCACACTAAGAACAACAACGCCAGCGTTCTACACGATTTCACAGGCCTGTTTTAGAGTCCAGCCCGGCGGGCCGTCCAGCAGAACTACCCATGGTAATGTGTGATAGAATTCAGGGTCAAAGGTTAACAAGTACAACATCAAAGCAAGAAGTCATTAACTGGTTACTGTGGATGAGCTGCAGTGTGTGATTCAGTCAGCAGCCGTTTCTGCGGTAACACCACATTACAACAACTGGTGGCACTGGAGATCCCACTGGTTCTACTGGATACTGAACCCTGTCTCACTGAACTGCCGATGAGCCGATGGGTGAGGAGCCGTCAGCAGCTCTGCTGTGCAGGCCTGAGTTACTGGGCACACACAGCTGTGAGTGACAGAGGCTCTTGAATGTGGTCAGTGATAAAGTCCCAGCAGCTCCTTTTCCATGTCAAAGTCAGACACACGTCCACCCTGACCGGCTCTGAGGTCAGTCCAGGAGGTTCTGGAAGATTCTCCCTCACATACTAGCCTAATAACAGAGCAATCAACTCCATTACACCATTATTATTAGGACACATTAGGGCTGCACAGTACATAGTTTCACATTCATTATCATGAAGCTGATATCACCAAGGATACAATATGCAAATGAGCCCTCCAACCTACCACAGGTACACAATAGACATACAAAAGTTGTCCAAAAGTTTGTGGACACTCCTTCTTATTCGTGAACTCAGCTGCATTAAGGTCACTCACTGCTGACACAGGAGTTCAAATATACACACAGCTTCTATAACCGCCACAGAAAAGCAGTGACCAGTAGAAAGGGACACTCTGGAGCAGCTGCACATGAGCCTAAGGTCACTATGTCCAATGCCCAGCGTGGGCTAGAGGGGTATAAAGCCCCCCAGCATTGGGCTGTGGAGCAGTGGAACTGTGTTCTCTGGAGTGATGGAGCTCCATCCAGTACCTTTGCGATGAGTTGGAGATCCAGAACTGATTTTCCAACATCAATACCTGACCTCACTAATGCTCAATCAAATCCTCACAGCAATGTTCAACATCTAGAGCCTTCCCAGAAGGGTAGTGGCTGTTACTGCAGCACAGGGGGACAAACTATTTTTTAATACTCTTGATTTTGGAAGAAAGACAGTATGAGCAGGTGTCCACAAACTTTTGGCCATTTCGTGTATTCACATATTCCAATATTTAGGTTAAAATATAATGTTCAGCCGATTTTTACCCACGTCACATTGCTCATGTTTGTGATATATTAGAAGTCAAATTTAAACGCTGTAGCGATTTTAGTGATTCTGTAGTTATTTTAGTAAAACAGTGTAAACGTAAAGTAAACGTAGAGCGGAAATGCCAACAAACTCTCTTTAGAGTCAAAACTGGCAGCCTATCAGAGTTGAGAGGGAGGGGATGG